AGTTTTTCGATACCTACAGGGGCTCCAGGAGAGCTGGAGAGGGACTTGGGACAAAGGCCTGGAGTGACCGGACGGGGGGAATGGCTTCACACAGACAGAGAGCAGGATTAGATGGGGTATTGGGAAGAAATTTTTCACTGTGAGGGTGGTGAGACCCTGGCACAGGTTGCTTAGAGAAGCTGTGGCTGCCCCATCCATGGAGGTGTCCAAGGCCAGGTTGGACAGAGCTTGGAGCAACCTGGGCTAGTGGAAGATGTCCCTGCCCATGGCAGGGGGTGGGACTGGGTGGTTTTGAAGGTCCCTTCCTTCTGAAATCCTTCTATGGTTTGGCATCCCAGAAGTGCCATCACGTAACTTCCAGTCAAAACAGGGTCCAGCACTGAAAACCCCTTAATGGATGTCTCAGTTCTCCAGTTAAGGGAAAAAAGCAGCACAGTAAGGACAAAGATGGGTTTGTAGGGGGGAGCTGTGTGACTCCTGGGCATGCAGTGGTGACTGGGGGATGTCACTGGGCAGGGTTTGGCACATCAGGGGCTCACATGTTCTGCTGGTTCCCTCCCTTGGGGTGATACTGGCCACACTCAGTATCTGTCTGGCAGCAGCAAGGGACATTTAAGGGTTTTTATTTGGTTCTGCAGCGGCCTGTGAACCACCAGAGTTGCATGGCTCCCTCTGCATACAAGGACCCTTTTACCTCTTTGAGGATAATTATTTGGTGGACTTCAGAGGCCCAGAGGAGTTTTGGATCCTCCATGGTTGGAGGTTTGACCAGAAAAAGGCTTGAGCAACCTGCTCTGGCCTCATCCTGACCCTGCCTTGGGCAGGAGGTTGGACTGGAGATCTCCCAAGGTTCCTTCCAACCCGAATTATTGCATGGATCTGTGATAAAGGTGTGTGATATATAAAGGACTGGAAGGATTGGAAGGTACAGCAAATGTACCTTTTGACTGAGAAATCCATGGATCTGTATTGCCTTTTTTTTTTTTTAAAGATTGAAGTAACTGAATTTCATTTTGGAACTTAGAGAAAACCCTTGAATGACTTCTGTGTTTGCCTGCGTTCAGCACTCAAAGGGCTGCTGAGGGAGGATGTTGAAAACTGCTGCAGAGCCTGGATTTTCTGCCTTTTTTTTTTTTTGCTATGTTGTACTTTTGTGGAACGTTTCTTATCTTTTGGCTTATGGTGCTTTACAGACTCTTTATACCTGTCACTAATTAATGACTAATTACTGTATTTCCAGTTGGTTACACTGTGGTTGCTCTGCTCTGGGTATTGTAAGGGTTTATGCCCCTAAATCTTACTTGTAGGACAGTTTTGTAGCTGTTTTCCATCTTATCCCCCCTGTGAACACCCCCATGCTCCAGGAGTGAATATCCTTGTAATACATCCTTGATTTACAAAGACTTCTCCCACCAGTTACCCAACTACTGTTATATTGGTATGCTCTAACCTTCAGCTCTTTTGAATTAGTGATGACTTCCATCACACTCTACGCTGCAGGATTCCAGTGTGCTGCAATCCTTCTGTGCTGCTCCAGGATTCCTGTGTG